CATCATCACATAACCATCATCACATAACCATCATCACATAACCATCATCACATAACCATCATCACATAACCATCATCACATAACCATCATCACATTTTAAACAATTTTTCTGATGCACCCTGCATTGTTGTTGCAAATTTTCATTCTTCGTTGCATTGCCAGTCTGAAATGAGAGTTGCAGGGTAAGTCAGGCAACACTTTCTCGCATCAACAAAACATAATGTTTTCCTTGAACTAAGGAGCTTAAAATATATCATTAAACCAATACCAGCACTGGAAAGAGCATCTTTACTTTAATAGCCCTACGAAGATTCATTATGTCAGGTGCTATATCGGCCGAGAAAACTTTAAATTTACAGACATTTGTATGCCTGCATGGGAGTATACGCTATACAAACGTCTGCAAATTTATCAATTTTCAACTTTAGTTTTCTCGGCCTATTTTAATTCAACTTAATTTGCGGCCGCCATTTTGGCAAGGGATCTATTTTTTGCTGCAAAGAAATCTAAAATTGCAGCAAGTATTAGCATCTTTAACGTCTTTCGTTCCCTCTTTTGGCAGACACAAAATCAAGAAACCTCAGTGGATCAGGCAGGTCGTGTATTCGTTAACACTCCCGGCTGTCCTTGTTTCTATGTGCTCATAGCACGAGATCATCGCCAGTGGAGAACAAGTCTAGGATTAGAAAATGGTACACATGCATCCTAATTATATGGGTCTTAAATCCTAGATCTACGTAATACTGTATTCCAAGATGTTATTCTAGGCAATCACGGCCTTTTCACCGATACGGCAGCCATCTTGAATTCTATTGTTTTTAATTAAGACCTTATGGGATGCTGAGGGGGCAACTATTGGAAAATTTACAGCTGTCAGGATGTCTTTTTATAGAACTTTGCGCTTTTCAATGAGAAGCACGTCTAAAAAGAAAATGAATTTGCTGGCGATTGGAACAATATTTGAAACACCAAGACTTCAAATTATTGAATTTGCTGGTAGTTGAACTGAATATGCGCAACACAAAGACTTCAAACTATTTGAAAACGTAATCCCGTCACTCTATGCTTTATTTTAAACTTTCTACTTGTTTGCCCCCTCGGCATCCCATAGTCGGTGAATCGGAAATTTTTTTCGTTTTATTTTGTTTGTTTGTTTGTTTTGTTTGTTAGATCTTAATGGCGACGAAGTCAGCAGTCAATCAAGTCATTCTCGAGGTAATCATCATCTCTAAACTCTCTATCAATTCCTTTCAATCCTCTTATCTCTTATTGAAATAATACATGTGGATTTCTCTCTTAACACCCTTAGCTAGCGGACAGCGCTTTAAGGCTTTGGAATCGACTTCACCTGTTAACGTTAGGAACCAAGAAAGTGGATCCTTATGTAGTACCAGCACCTGCACCATCCCTCGACAGAAACTGATATTATTGACATTCATGAATAAAAAGGTAATGGTACCTATCTCACTTTTTGACCTAGGCAAATGATGATAATGCTCGTCACCACCATTTTCATCACCATCATCATTGTCATAATTATCAAAGGCTTAGCCACCACCACCTTCCTAATCATCAGCATCAGCATCAACACCATCACCAATACCATTATCACCACCACCATCATCATCACTGTCATCATCACCACCATCATTACCATTACCATCATCATTGTCACCAGCATCATTATCACCACCATCATCACCAGCATTATCATCACCACCATCATTATCACCAGCATTATCATCAACAGCATCATCATCACCAGCATCATCAACACCACCATCATTATCACCAGCGTCATCATCATCCTCATTATGAGCAGCGGCATTACCACGACCATCGTAACCACCACCACCATCATCATCACAACCACCATCATCACCACCATCATCATCATCACCAGCATCATTATCACCACCATCATTATCATCACCATCATCATTATCACCAGCATCATTATCACCACCATCACCACCATCATTATCATCACCAGCATCATTATCACCAGCATCATCATCATCATTATCACCAGCATGTTTGTCACCAGCATCATTATCACCATCACCATCATTATCATCACCAGCATCATTATCACCAGCATCATTATCACCAGCATCATCATCACCAGCATCATCATCACCATTATGAGCAGCAGCATTACCACGACCATCGTAACCACCACCACCATCACTATCATCATCATCATTACCCAGAGAAGACCAAACGCACTCGGTATTAAATGTTTTTTCCATGTTGGACTTCATGTCACTCTATTGAGAATAAAAGTAGGCTCTATTGCAAGCCACTCGTTTTTTTAATTAGTATATCTTCTCTTCTTCAGACAATACCGTAACATGTAGATGTGTATCTTTTTAGAGGGACTAACGCCATTATTATACTTACTCGCAGCTGATTCTGTACACGTACAATCTGGCCGCCGACTTTAACCAATCCTTAGAAGATCAAATACAGCGGTTGCTGCACTGGAACAATGCGCGGTGTCACCTAACGACCTGTTTAATGACACAGAAGATGGGTTTGTTCCACCACCTTTCGTTTGCTCAAATCAATGAAGGCAAAAAGGGAAAGGTAAGGCATTGCGTGACTGAATCGTGATGCATACACCTATTTCAAAAAACGTTGTCGGTGGAGATCTGAAGTTTTTTCAAGCACTGGAACAACTAGCATTTCCTTGTCAATATAGTCGATTGATCGATTTAGATTGACAATGTTTCCTTCAGCAGCATAGAGGAAGTAAAATCCTAACCGAAAAACCGTTTGATTACAAGACACTGTGATGCCAGCCTAGACTACACCTGATCAACCTGATGTTTTCATATTCTATATTTTAAAAGATGACCGATATATTATTTTTCGTTTCGATTCAGGATGTGAACCCATACTGCATGTCTGCAAACGACATGGATATGAACGCCTTGATCAGAAAAACAACGCCTGTCGTCAGTGACGTAAGAGTCTTCAATCATTGTTATATTATTATTCTAAGGAGCTATAAACTTACTACTTGAACAAAAGTCTTTTTTTGATCCATTTGTGTCAAAAAAAATTAGGGTGTTTGCTCATCATATCTTTAGAGCTCTTAAGTTGCGATGTATTTACAGGTCCAATTGCTCGCCTGAAACATATACAGTTAAACGTTTGGCAACAAATCCTGTCGTGAATTAAAAGAAAAAGAAGAATCTATAGAACTAATCTATAGAACTTCTTTTCGACACCAAAGAGCCTTACTACATGAATTGCGTTTTTCTTTGGGAAGCGTGGTTCAGGRATGAGAGTCAACGCCTCTCACCTCTGCTTCCTGGTTCAGTGTTTGAAAGACTGGGCGCATCTTGAGTGTTTTCGAGTTGGATTATGGTCTAGCTTGGGTACACAACAATATATTTAACACATAGTAGGGAAAATACATTTGTACCTAAGCATGACCACAATAGCGCAGCGTAGCCATGACGTCATAAGAACGAAGACAAAGGCAGATAATTTCAGCAGATAATTTTCACAGCCGATCGCAGTTGATCTTAGTTTACATGGGTTATTATCGTAAATAATAAAATCGGTTCGTATAATCCTCGTAGCGGTTAAACAGAATGCAATGTTTGTCCGAATCTTTAAGCTATTTTTAGAATCAGTGCGCTGCGCTATATGTTCACTATCTCAGAAATGGTCTGATATAAGTTTTGAATTTGTTTGATGTGTTATTTTTGACCCTTGGTTTTTGTCCTTGGTAATCCGGATTCCATCGATCACTTTATAAAAATCATCATTTTATCGGCACTAAGGTATCATTATTTCTTTATTCAGCGTGACCAAAATACTTCACGATCTCTCGCTAACGCCAACCTCCTGGTGTTTGATCAAGTGTTGCGTGACGTGGTCCCAACAAGACCACTTCAGCAAACTCCATACTTCCAACACAGGGATCCCGTCAAACAACATGGCTATCAATTCCGGGTACGTTTTCGTATTATGACCTTTTTTTGTATAGTTAGCAATACCTTATCTTACTCCTTTAACCTTATCTATTTATCTCTCTGTTTATCCATAGGAAATACGTTCTGCCCAAATCAAAGGTTCGTTTGATCATGTTTCTCGATCAGGGTTCATGCTACTCCTTAAACTCCTTGAAAACTCCTTGAATTTAATTCACGTTTTCAAGGGCACTTGAAAAGCTTTTAAATTTTACGATTTTAGAGAAACTCCTTGAAAACTCCTTGGATTTTTGCTTTGATCATTACTTGCATGGTTCTGAAATAGATCTAGTCAGAAAGATTGGAAAATCTGAAAGTCGGCCATGTGCAACCACCGTGTAAAACCATGGTATATTTAGATGATATACTTCTTGAATATTCATTTTTGGGTCCTTGTATACTCCTTGAATAGTCCTTGAATTTTAAGTCGTTACCTCAGCACGAACCCTGCTCGCTCGATGTTTTTAAATTCTATCATTCTGTTGTGGTAACTATAATATTATTCGTTTTTTTTTTTGTGTGTGTGTTTTTTTTCTTCAGCCAACACTATACAGACAGCATTGGAAGAGCTCTACGTCAACTGGCAACAGGCACCACATCCTCCTGCAGGGGTGAGACAGAAGACTTTCCTCCTTCCAATCTTTTTCTCCTCAAACTTCTGCTATTCTTTCTTTTCTTCCAATTATTCTAATTCAAATGAAATGAAACAAATTTATAGGATTTTAACATTAGCATCTCCACACAGTGGTTCTTCACCCACTGAAATTCTAATTGGATTTAGAAGTAGACTTTTGTTAAGGGAGGAAAATCGGAGAACAGGAAAGAACCAGCCAACAACTCTGTTCACATTCGACACCGAGTACAAGGATCGCTATGCGTGCTTCCTCATTCCATTTTCTTTCTTCTCCTTCTGCTATATTCCCAGAACTCTTCTTATAAAAGCAGCAGTAAGGGGGACTCGCGATTGATGCCGTATATTTGCGGGTTTTACCCGGGAAATTACGAACGCGGGTACAGCAGATTTACGG